CGGACCGTTTCGTACCAAATTAATTTTTAAAGTACTTTTAAACTACACTGTGAAACAATATATTTAAGTAGCTTCATTCTAAAAACTCTTTGTTTTTAACCGTCTTGCGGAACGGTTGAAATCATCCTGTAGACTAGCAGTTAGGAACCACTACTTCATGAAACAATAAGTCGGATCATAACATTTGATTGTGACACGTATATGATCTTACATCATAAAATAACATCTAATTGAGCATCTTTTTTAGCTTATTGCTTTCTTTAGTAGAGTACAACTTTTATTAGAGTTATTATAAAGTAAAATATAAATCTGAAACAAAGCCAAACAGATACTGATAAATCTCTGTAAGAGAAAAAATAATAATTATGTGATAAATGTTTCAACGAAACTACCTTCACCAGTAGAAACATTCACCACACAGTTCCCCCTTGCACCAGTTTTAAACACTTGTTTAATTGAGTAGAGCTCCTACAATGCGATTGTATTAGAGTATAGCTTTTAAAATTCGTCTACTTTAGAGTACAATTTTCAAAATACGTTTATATTACAGAAAAAATTAAACGAGTTCATATTAGAGTATAGCTTTTAAAATATATTTATATTACAGAAAAAAATAAAACGAGTTCATATTAGAGTATAGCTTTTAAAATACGTTTATATTACAGAAAAAAATAAAACGAGTTCATATTAGAGTATAGCTTTTAAAATATATTTATATTACAGAAAAAAATAAAACGAGTTCATATTAGAGTATAGCTTTTAAAATCATTCTCCTATAGACGAACACAACTAAATGTTATACTCCAATACAGACATACTCTTCTATAGACGAACACAACTAAATGTTATACTCCACTACAGACACATTCTCCTATAGACGAACACAACTAAATGTTATACTCCACTACAGACAAGCTCTTCTATAGACGAACATAACTAAATGTTATACTCCATTACAGACATGCTGTTCTATAGTTGAACACAACTAAATGTTATACTCCACTATAGACACTCTTCTATAGACGAACTTTAAACGCTGCACTTTGTTATATTCTAAATGTTGTTCTCTGATATAAACGTATTTTGAAAGTTGTACTCTATGCAAAGGTATTGTATAAGCTTTTCTCTAATACCAACGTATTTTAAAAACTGTAATTTAATATAAACGTATTGTCTGTAGTGGAGTATAACATTTAGTTGTGTTCGGCTATAGAAGAGTATGTCTGTAGTGGAGTATAACATTTAGTTGTGTTCGTCTATTGACGAGTATGTCTGTAGTCGAGTATAACATTTAGTTGTGTTCGTCTATAGAAGAGTATGTCTGTAGTGGAGTATAACATTTAGTTGTGTTCGGCTATAGAAGAGTATGTCTGTAGTGGAGTATAACATTTAGTTGTGTTCGACTATAGAAGAGCATGTCTGTATTGGAGTATAACATTTAGTTGTGTTCGCCTATAGAAGAGTATGTCTGTAGTGGAGTATAACATTTAGTTGTGTTCGACTATAGAAGAGCATGTCTGTATTGGAGTATAACATTTAGTTGTGTTCGCCTATAGAAGAGTATGTCTGTAGTGGAGTATAACATTTAGTTGTGTTTTTATTAAAATAAAGGTTAGAGGTCGTTTACAATGAAGCAGAAGTTTTCCACATGTTTATAATAAAGTACTGCAAAAGTTTTAATATACTATAGATGTATGTTAATAGCAAAGTAAAACTTTTAGAACACACCATCCATGTTGTTCGCCTCAATTTGTCTTGGTTGTTTGAGGTTACGTTTTTACATTTAAGATTTTTCACACAATTGTTGTTGATTATAACAGTTTTTGCTAAATAGTTAAACAGTTCTCCGAGAATAGTTTCAGAAAGAGTTATTTAATTAATTATTTAATGTGATTTTTAACATAAGATAGTTTGGAAGATTAGTTGTCCTCAAAATTAAGATAACCAAATTTAAATTTTATATTTTAAGATATTTTGTAATCTGTGAGTAATAAGTTGAAGGAAAATTATTAAGTGATAAAGGGTAAAATTGCTGTGAAAAAGTGTCAACGAAACGTCAGTGGAATAACGTAAGGTCTTATGAATAAACAAAAAGTAAAGAAACGTGAGTGGAATAACGTAAGATCTTATGAATAAACAAAAAATAAAGAAACGCGAGTGGAATAACGTAAGATCTTATGAATATTCATAAGACCTTACGTTATTCCACTGACGTTTCTTTATTTTTTGTTAAACAAAAAAGTAAAGAAATGTGAGTGGGATAACGTAAGGGTCTTATGAATGAACAAAAAAGTAAAGAAACGTGAGTGGAATAACGTAAGGTCTTATGAATGAACAAAAAGTAAAGAAACGTGAGTGGAATAACGTAAGGTCTTATGAATAAACAAAAAGTAAAGAAATGTGAGTGGGATAACGTAAGGTCTTATGAATGAACAAAAAAGTAAAGAAATGTGAGTGGGATAACGTAAGGTCTTATGAATGAACAAAAAGTAAAGAAAAGTCAGTGGAATAACGTAATGGTCTTACGATTGTTTGTTTGTTTGTTTTTAAGTATGCACAAAGCTCCGTAAGGGCTATCTGTGCCCTGCCCACCACGGGTATCGAAACCCGGTTTCTAGCGTTGTAAGTCTGCAGACATACCGCTGTGCCACTGGGGGGGCTGGTCTTACGAATGAACAAAAAAGTTACTTTACCACTAAATTCACATTTTAAATTTTGTGATGCAATTGTGAAGAGTTCTTGTTGTTGATGTGAACGATTCACACATATTTTTGTTCAACTGAATGCAGTCGATGTGCACCCAAATTGTTTACTGCAAACTAACTTGAGATGCTTAAATTCCTCGACAGTTTTCCACGCTGTCTTATCTGTTTGCTATATTGTTTGGATAGGGTAGTTGGTGGTGTGCTTACTGTAAATCATAGTATTAACAAGACTTTTATATCTTCTTACGGCGAAGCATCAGACTTTAGTATTAGGCCCATTTTCAAAATACGTTTATATTAGAGTACAGCTTTTAAAATATATTTATATTATAGAAGAAAAATTAAAACGAGTTTGTATTAGAGTATTTAAATTTTTAATACCAATAGTTATTCGTAAACTTGATAATGTTGAGATTTAGTGAGAAGTGGCAAAGACCAAATAACTTTACGAATAATATCAACATATACTCCACAAACAACGTTCTTTTCGTTCATGTTTAGTGCCTCTTACGTGAACTTTGAATATCCCCGACATCAAGCCAAGTTCTATATATTGATTTGTAATTAAAATTGGAATCTGAAAATACGTTTTCCAATCACATTTTGTCGTAATTGGGTTTGTGTCTGCATTTTAAATTCAGCTCATTTTAAATTTCCTTTTGTTAATTATTGTTAATTTGTCCATATGGCGTTTTCTACACGTAGAGTAAGTAAAATATGTAGGCTTAAGGAAATTCATTTCCAGTTGTTTGTTTCGGAATTACACGTAAAGCTACACAGGGGCTATCTGCTCATATCCGTACGTCGTGTTGAACTGATGAACTAGTGGGAAGGCAGCTAGTTCAATAGCACCCACTTCTATGGCTACTTTTGTGTGATTGAATACTAGAATCTTAGCGTCACTCTTATTGCGCAACGATGGCCCAAAGAGCAGATCGTGTTTTTGCGACAATGAATCTCCAGAATTCACCAGATTCACAGTCCGGCCACCAACCCTGGCCCTTAGAAAACAAAGGAAAAACTTTTCCGGCCCATCGGTTTTGCACAAAACAATTACTTGAAAAAAAATTACATAATTTACCATGCTTACAATTTCCATTTTTCACAAAGAATACATTTTGAAGATATTTTTGGATTGATTGGGTTTATCAGACAAGGGTAGAATTATTGCAATTCTATTCATTATTGTTGCCATGGTAATATTAGTTAGTAATCAAAACGTCTACCTTAATTAATTAATATAGATATTTGTGTTGTATATATAAAAAAGGAGGACTCATTCATGCTTCTTCCAACTGAACCTTTCGGTCCCAAGCCCGGATAAATAAAAGTTACCGTAAAAAACCCTGGCTAAAACCAAGATATGCACCTTGGGTCAGGGAAGACCCGATCGGCTAATCCCATGTCAGAATAGGATTAAGGTCGTACGAAAAAAATATAATATAGAAAAAATTACGGTGGTGTACTTGCTCAGCAAAATCATTCGTCAAGCTGCAATTAAACCGCTAGATTCAAAGGCACCATGAGTATAAAGATGAATGTGAAATCCTTCGAAAATACATAAAATTACAGACTACTCTTCAAAAATCTCAAATGATTTGTTGGGTTGCGTAAACACTAACCAGACAACTCGTTTACTTTTATATTTTTTTAGCAAGGAGAGAAAACAAAGAGAATTGCATTGGAAAAACCGGTTCTAATGCTTTCATCTTTCTCACCTTCCAGCTTAGTTTTGACACCATAACGAATCTAAACTTATTTCCTTAAAACCGTACCTTGGCTAGAAAGCATCTAACTTATTAATATTGAAAAATATACAAATTTAAGTAAATTTTGAAACAAGACTAATCATATTATTTGTATGCTTTTTATAACCGGTGAGTTACGACGAACTGTTTTGTATTAGGTTAATATTGTTAATCTACATTTTCGTACAACATTATAAGTTACTTACTATTATTAATATAATTATTCATCATCTTCCTCATACGTCAAACTTTTATGAATTCGTTAGCATTCTTTAAATCTATTAGTGGCCAAATGCATTTTTGAAGGAAATATATAAAATGGTGTATTAATATTTTATAGAAAATAACTATGATAAAATAAAATTCAATTATTTCAAATAATGATTATTTAGCAAATTTCTACTTCCATTGGAAGCCCCCGGGGCGTAAGTAGCATCATCCAATAGAAACAAACAATTATTATATATTTCATCAGATAACATTTGATTCAATGCACTTGTTGCTTATACAAACAAGAGAGGCTCAGATAAATATAAGAAGCACAAACCGAAATCCCCCGATGTCGGAATGGTCGTCACATGGTGTTTGAAAATGCTGAAGAGCTCCTGGATCTTGTATGAATGTGCAATCAGACCAGCGTTCGTTGTACATCATTATTTCTCGACTGTTCTTGTCTGGATTAATAGTTTAAGCTGGTGAGTTCGAAGCCCATACACAAAAATGAGTCTTTAAAAGCAAATCCAACAACAACAACAATAGTGCTCCGAACGTTAAGAAGGGTTTGATCTTAGGATGACAGATAGTAATAAAAACACAGTACACCGTATATGCGTTTAGATCAGCGGGAAGAATTACTAATTTTCACAACATTTAAGCTATCTTACAATTTTCTACTGAATATGGCGCTTCCCGTGTTTTCCCGCGACTCAGGAAAGAAAGCTTTCTGTTTGTCAGCACGAGCTTAGACCATGATCCAGCTGGCTATACCTTTGCCTCGAGATAAGATAAAGACTGCCAGGTATCTAAAACGGATACAGCTAACTATGAATGGTCCGTTGCGACCCAGTTGAAAGGTCATGTTAACAGGATTAATAACAACGCCATATGCGTTTATGTGCATTCAAACATTTCGAAATTTATTACATAATCCTGTTCGACGACAGAGTAGTCGCTATTTTCAAACATTTGATTGGAAATGTCTAGCTGCAACTGTGCTAGTTTATCAGAGATAGCAACCAAATAACATTTACTGTTCCAAATGGTGTTTAAAAGCTTGTTTCACAGCAAGAGTTTATCTGCGGTTTATTTGAATTAGAGGGTAACCTTTTCTTTGATTTTGTGTTTACATTTTGAATATTTAAATAGGGTAAAGAACGAGTGTTGCTGTTATATCTAATATTCTTATATCATAGTTCCTGTTTTTTTCAGAAGTAATGCAGTATTTGAGGAACAACTACGTTAGGTGCAACACAGTTTTGAGCTTAGAGATTAACACACCAACAAATTTGTTAGTCTTCTATTGGATATTACACACAATTTTGACTTCGCTCAAAAAATGTTGAAAGTACTACGATCGTTTGATGTCGGACGAAGCATTTACACATGTGGCTTTTTTATTTTTTGCTATAACTTTTAACTTTTATCAAAACACAGGCAATATTCCGGCTTGTTTCACACGACATATTAATCTCACTTACTCACGCATCAAACAAATCATTGTTGCCCTTACTATAACTTTTAACTTTTATCAAAACACAGGCAATATTCCGGCTTGTTTCACACGACATATTAATCCAGTCATTTACGCAAACAAATCACTGTTGCCCTTTCTATATGAAGGACGATTGAAGAATATTAATTTACAGTTTATATTTTAGAAATATCCGCGAAAAGGTACTATTTTTATATGTTCAGGATTATATCGATATTTCCGATCAATGCTGTTTTTTTTCTTAATCGTTTACTTATTAAAATGACCACTTAATAAATTCATCGGAATTGTGTACTCCATATGATTAGTGAACCGAATAGAACACAGTGCACGTTGTTTTGTAAGGTAAGGTGAAAAAAATGATTGAATTACCATGTTTTTTTACTTTCGTGTCAACATGATCAGAAAACATTTGATTTTCATTTATTTTACAAATTGCTAATTTTGTATAAAACAAATTGGCAGTAGTGCCGCTTAGTAAAACAAAAAATTTGGAACGTTGAAGCTTTACCGTCTAATCGCATTGTCTATTGAAGCCTTCAATTAGTTTTACTATTTACTGAGGGAGGATGGAGCATGTCATTAGAATATCACGTTTGACAGCATCTGATTTTTTTTTCTTTTTCGAATCAACAGAAGGAAAAACTTATTTCATGCAAAATATTCTAATAGCGAGTAAATCAAGTGTGTTGTAAACCCTATAATACTAAAGCAATGGGCCTAAGCCTACTGTAGTGTAAACAATTAATAACTTTTCAACAACTTCCATTCTCCAGTTTCAGACGCCTATCTAAGTAACAGACACTGCCCCCCCCCCAAAAAAAAATAATAAAACGCTTAAAACTTCAAGGATTCCTTTCAAAACATATCCCATAATGCCTCTGATGGTTAATAAATTTATCAGTCTTGCCCCCATGGCTTTAATATATAGATAGATATTTGTACCAAATTACGTTCATCTAACGACAAAAGGAATTCCACTAGGTAAGCATGGATGAGTGCTGATTACTCGAAAATTTAATTATTTAATTTGTAGAGTATAATAATGTCGTTAGTTTGTACTGTTTTAATGTACAATTAATGCGTTGCTAGTTTGTAATCTTGTGTTGGAACGAGTTATATTTGTTATCCAGGTTACTAAGCGATATAAAGCTTATTACCTTGTTTTTGTGTGCATGCTCATTATTTTGTTACTTGATGTTCGATTAATTTCTATCACACATTATAAGATAAAAAGTTGGTTATAAGGCACACGTAATTTATAAGTATTTATAAACTTTAAAGAAGGTTTGTTTGTTTGTAATTAAGCACAAAGCTACACAATGGGCTATCTGTGCTCTGCCAACCACGGGTATTGAAACCCGGATTCTAACGTTGTAAGTCCGCAGACATACCGCTATGCCACTGAGGGGCGAAACTTTAAAAAAACGGACTCAGAAGCTTAGCTCAGTAAGTTATCATTAACGTCTTTATAGTTTCCTAAACTTAGAATTCCCTTCACCTGAAAATACTTAAATCAGATTTTTTAACCAACAGAAACATAAACAGGACCAGCCTTGTATCTTACACATTGATATAACCTTTGTTTTTGTCACATAAAAATTTGTTACATTGAAAACAGAAGGAAAATAATTTAGTTCGTATTCAAACAGCTTAAAGCTTCCCTAGAGGGCACTCGGTTTATTGATTGTTAGTATTGAACGTCTGTTATGCAGGATCATAGCTTGAAGCCCATGTTGAAGTCTTTACCCAATAATCACTTAGTCTTCTTTAAATTTATAGATAATAAAAAAGACAATCACGATGAAGTGATAATACAATTTTCTTCTTCACGTTGTTTGGCACTGACAAATGTAAAAGTTCACAGCCATACGTATAGTCTGAAATATCTCACTGAAACGATTTTAGTTAGCTATACGTATAGTCTGAAATATCTCACTGAAATGATTTTAGTTTGCCATACGTATAGTCTGAAATATCTCACTGAAACGATTTTAGTTAGCCATACGTATAGTCTGAAATATCGCACAGAAACGATTTTATTTAGCCATACGTATAGTTTGAAATATCTCACTGAAATGATTTTAGTTAGCCATACGTATAGTCTGAAATGATTTTAGTTTGCCATACGTATAGTCTGAAATATCTCACTGAAACGATTTTAGTTTACCATCTTATAGAGAAAACAAACACTGACATTTATTCATATTACAACGAGTGTTAGCTTACACAGAACATCGATACTTTAACAAAGAGCTATTGTAGAGTAAATGCAAGTGCTACAGTCTCCAGTCTTGAGCTAAAATTTGACAATTGTTCAATTAATTACGATATTTATGTGGTGCTGCTATAAAAAGAAGCTAATTTACAATATTATAAAATCTTGTTAGAGCAGCTTTATTTACGTGGTGCTGTATAGAAAAGAAGCTAATTTACAATATTATCAGGTCTTGTTAGAGCAGCTTTATTTACGTGGTGCTGCTATAGAAAAGAAGCTAATTTACAATATTATCAGGTCTTGTTCGAGCAGCTTTAATTACGTGGTGCTGCTATAGAAAGAAAGCTAATTTACAATATTATCAGGTCTTGTTAGAGCAGCTTTATTTACGTGGTGCTCCTATAGAAAAGAAGCTAATCCAATATTATCAGGTCTTGTTAGAGTAGCTTTATTTACGTGGTGCTGCTATAGAAAAGAAGCTAATCCAATATTATCAGGTCTTGTTAGAGCAGCTTTATTTACGTGGTGCTGCTATAGAAAAGAAGCTAATTTACAATATTATCAGGTCTTGTTAGAGCAGCTTTATTTCTCGGCAAACAAATCTGGAGGAAAAGCCATAACATCTACGTATTTGTGAGAAGAAGTTATTTTATCTAGCTTTAGTTTTATGTACAAGGAAAGCGTTAGCTTTTTATTATTATTCTTACCAGTGAAGTAAGACATAGATGGCAGACAGTTGTATTTATGATTCTTCAAGTCTGATTACCTGAGCAACGTACGCTCTCGAAACGACTACTTTCTTCTGTATTCGTACTATTTCTATCTCTTTAATCTTATGGATTTATTTTTGCGTCATTTCCTTGAGAGCTTATAATGATAAAGATCGGGGTTCTATCCTTGCGGTGAATACGGCAGAGATAACCACCCCTCGTGCAACTTTGCACTTTAAAATAGAACAAATAAATTACACTTTTATATTTATTTTTTTCTATTTAGACCATATAATACTTGATATATAGATGGCAGTGTGTATCAAAATATACCTTCTAAAAATTCAAATTAAAACAATTATTTTTATACTCCTCAGATCGGTTTGTTTGTTTGATATTGAGCACCAAATTACACTATGGGCTATCTGTGCTGTGCCAACCACTGGTATAATAACCCGGATTTTGGCGTTATAAGCCTTCAAATTTATCGCTAATCCACTGTGGCTGGACTCTCAGATCGGACTATCGCAGTTGTCTACAAACTCCCCCTTATAGCTAAAGAACCAATGTTCTTATTGATCAGTACTGTTTGAACTGTAACAGGCTTATTACACTCAAATGGGGATTCCATTACTGTAGTTGTATCAATTTAAGGAAACCTAAAATATAATGTTTTAAAGTTGCTAAGCGGTAGTTAGTTAACAGTAGTATTAGTGCAAAGCTACACAATGGGCTTTCTGCGCCCTGTTCACCGCGGAGAATCGAGCCCCAGACTTTAGCGCTGTAAGTCCGTAATCCTACTACTGACTCACTGGAGGGCGCCAAAAATGTACCTAAACACTGTTGTATATAATTTGTTTGGTTACTATGGTTTACCTTTGCACCATTATACATCCAAAAAAATCAACAATAACTAAGAAATATAGATTTAACACCGACAGTTGTATCATCTCCTCTCTCCGTGGGTCAGTGGTTAGTTTCCAAAATCACAACGCTAAAATCTAGGGTTCGATTCCCCGCGGTGGACATAGCGTAGGTAGCCTATCGCGTAGCTTTAAATTAATAAAAGACAACAAGAAGAAAAAAACAATCAATTAAACAACGGTATCCGAGATTATAGTTTGTATTAATATTTTGATTCATAAAACCTGCTTCTATGATATTACTTTCATACGGATAGAAGGGAGGAGTCATGTGGATAGCGTTTA